AGCTCCAGGAAAAGAGATTCCACCTCAACTTTAGGAGGAACTTCTTGACAGTGAGAGCTGTTCGACAGTGGAACTCACTCCCTCAGAGTGTGGTGGAGTCTTCTTCTTTGGATGTCTTTAAACAGATGCTGGATGACCATCTGTCGAGGATGATTTGATTTTTAGTTTCTGCATGGCAGAGGGTTGGAATGGATGGCCCTTGTGGTCTCTTCCAACTCTATGATTCTATGATTCTATTTCTGACTTATGGTGACCTTAAAGGGATTTTCTTGGAAAGATCTATTCAGAGGTTTGCAATTCCCTCCCCCTGCTGCTGTGAGCATCTGGCTTGGCCAAGGTCACCCAGTGGGTTTCATGGCCAAGCTGGGAATTGAATCCAGGTCTCCAGAGTTGTAGTCCAGCACTCACACCACTATGCCACACTGATTCTCTAAACTACTAGCAAAATTAAAATTATACCTTTAAATTGCAATATCATATGCACAGCCTAAATGCATTCACAAATACATAGTTTGAAGTGGTTGAAGTGAAAATTTGGTAAAATGTGATGTTTTTAAAATTATTTATTTTATTATTTAAAATTAAAATTTAAAATCTGGGGCCTTTCCTTTCTCCTTCCACAGTCCCTCACCTCACTCACATAATCTCTTACAGCATTTTAAAGAGACACAGACAAGTGCCACAGCCCCTTTCTGCCCAAAGGCAGATGTTTGAGGAGCAGTGGTGTCACCCAACTTTAAGGTGTCACCTGGTTATTAATTCCAACAATGTGACAACATGAGAAACACCTCTATGAGATCTCTCCATGGGGTGTTTGCCTATCGTGGAAATTAGTTTGGGTAGGAGATATTTGTCACTCTATAAGAAGGAAGTGGGGAAGCAGAGGGGCTCCTATAGCCTTCCAAAAACCTTGGGTGTCCCTGGAGAAGAGGAGAGGTGTTGAAACAAGATTGTTAAGAAGGAACACAGAAAGGAAAAGGGAGGAAAGAGAAAGTCACATCAGCGATAAGGCAGCTGCTCTAGTGGCACAAGTGCTGCCACTGCTTATTTTAATTGGACTTAAAGCAACATCTAAAACTAATCATATCAATTGCTAATGAAAAGACTTTCACACCATAAACACCATTGTCAAAAAAGATTTGGAGACAAAAAAGAAAGCCTATTTGAATAAATTTCACTGTGTTGGTGAAGAAGTGGAGGGGGCAAGGCAAGCTGAGGAGCAGTATTTGAGAGGAGAAAATCAGGAAGGAGAGTGTAGAATAGAACAGAAAAAAGGAATATTGGAAAATTATGAAATACTGATTTAAAGTACTTTTAAGAACTTACCAATACTGACACTCAATGACTGATTTAAAAATAAGAATTACAACTGGATTGAGTGGGAATAGAGAGAGAGAAATGAAGCAGAGAGGAAAAGTGGACAAGATTGAAAGTCTGGAGTTTAGAGTGGAAGGGGAAGGAAGATCAGCAGAACATAGTAGTCACAACAAAACAAAATTAAAGTTAAACACCAAAGCTTGTTTGAACTTTAAGTTTGAAAACTTAAGATTAATCAATTTAACTAACTCCATTATTGGAGTTATTGGATTTATTGTTAAATCAAATCCAAACTATGACAGTAAAGGATTGCAAAAGACTATAATTATTGCAAATAAATCAAAGGATTGTAAAAGACTATAAAAACTACAAATAAAACAAGTAAAGCACCATTTCTTATGACTGGGAGAGGAGGCATGGACAAAAAAGAAGCAAGAGGAAGAGATAAGATCAAACGTTAAAGACTGCACATTATATCACACAAACAACAACAACAACAACCCTGTTTCAACTAACTTGGATTGACACATATACAAATAAGATACCTAGGCAAAGACAATATACAATTTCAAGAGAGGTTCACACCAAAGAGATGCAAAAATAAACTAAACCCCAACAAAAAGAGAAAAAAAGAAAAGAGGAAAAGGTCATATTGAGAAGAATGTTGGTGGAAGTAATTGGGAGATATAAGAAGATAATCAATTATACAACAATACTTTCACATATTATTATATATTTGAAGTTAAGGTTTATAAGGCATAAAAATAGAAGGGATTTTAGGGGGGTGGAAATATTGTGTTATTAATTTTTGTTTGATTAACTAGATGTAGTATCAATTGTGAAATTAATTTGGAAAGTATACTATGGGATATAGGGTTTCAATTAATTGATCTTAGAATTAATTGTGAGATAGGAATATACATATCATTTGCCTAATTAATTAATTAATTAATTGTGATATAGTAATAGTGATTTAATTGTTTAGGACTGTGTTTAAAGATCTAAATATAATATTAAGGATTTGGTTTGGGGAGATAATGGTGAGATTTGCGGTTTAATTAATGGTGCTAGTTGGATATTGAAGTTATTATTAATTAGATAATAGCTGAATTTTAATAATAATAATAATAATAATAATAATAATTTATATACCGCCCGGTGGCGAACCAATCTAGGCGGTTAACAATAAAAATTACATACAATCAAATAAAATAACTCCCTCCCCCCCTTAAAAAACGAATTAAACTGCATATCAATTAAAACAGTGGTTGAACAACAACCAACATTAAAACAACTAAATTGAACAATCAACCCCATGAGACTTCGGTTTAATGGGGGTTGAGAAACCAGTCAAGGGAAGTCTCAGTCCTGAAATCCCAATTTTCCCAGGCCAGGTGTTTTTTAATCTGGAAAGGCCTGCCGGAAGAGATTTTAGAGGTTAGCATTTAAGAATTGATAGGAGAGAAAGGACTTAAATGACAAATCAGGTAAATGCGACTGTCAGGAGTGCCTGTTATCAGAATCTACTGATACGCCAGCTGCGCCCTTTTCTGGAAGTAAGGAATCTCAAGACTGTTGTGCATGCGCTGGTAACCTCATGCCTGGATTTCTGTAATGCGCTCTACATGGGGCTACCCTTGTGCTTAGTTCGGAAACTACAGTTGGTTCAAAATATGGCGGCCAGGCTTCTGTTGGGAACATCTAGGAGGGACCACATCACCCCAGTTTTGAAGTCCCTCCACTGGCTGCCTATTGATTTCCGGGCCCAGTACAAGGTGTTGATTATCACCTTTAAAGCCCTAAATGGCTTGGGTCCAAGCTACCTCAGAGACCACCTTTTCCCATACAATCCTCCCCATGCCCTCCGGTCCTCTGGGAGGAACCTGCTGCAGCCTCAAAAATCTAGGCTTGCAGCGACCTCCCAGAGGGCTTTTTCTGTTGTTTCTCCCAGGCTCTGGAACGGCCTGCCAAATGAGATCCGTCAATTAAAATCTTTGGACAGCTTTAAAAAGGCTGTCAAGATGGATCTCTTCTGGCAGGCCTTTCCAGACTAAATTACCCGGCCTCGGATCCTTGGGATCTCCTTCCTCTTAAGAATGTTGTATAGTCACCTTTTTCAGAACTTGGAGTTGCAGGGGTTTGCTGGTTTGTATTTTTTTCTTAATTTTTTATTATTTTAATTGTAAATTGTTTTAATTGTGACGTGATTTAATAACTTTTTAAGGGGGGGGGGAGGAGGAAATTACACTGTTTTAAGCTGTACCTATTTTACTATTGTACACCACCCAGATTGGCTTGCCACAGGGCACTATATAAATAAAATTTATTATTATTATTATTATTATTATTATTATTATTCATATGATAGAAGATATAGAAATGATGGGTGGATGGAGACATTTATATGAGCAAAAAGGACTACACATTCTATTCCAAAAAGACACCATTCACTTTCTAGAATTAATATATTTTTCTTAACTACATTAATGTGCAAAGAAAATATTCAGAAAACAGAGATTCTACCCAGAACAATTTCTGATCATATTCCTTTAATTCTTATTTTAAAAGAAGCCAATAAACCAAATATTTGGAGATTAAATGAAGAACTGCTACAAAACCAGGAGATTATTACAAAGACCAAAAATACAGTCAATCTCTTCTTTAAAGAAAATATGTCTAATGAATTGAAGAGGAGTACAATTTGGGATGTGAGTAAATCAGTATTAAGAGGCCATTTTATGCTGCAAAATGTGAAGTTAAAAAAGAAAAGAAAGAAAAGCTCATGAAACTCACAAATATTTTAGAAGAAAAAGTCTAATTTCTTACATTCTTACAATCCTACTTGCTTTCCCATAGCCATCTTTTATTACTATATTCTACAATTGGTGACCATATCTTATCAACCTTTTCTAAATCTTTTTTGTTCAGTAATCTGTCCATTTCTTTCATTTCAGCTAACTTCAATAACCAATCATCCACTGTAGGTAATTCTTGTGGGTTTTTTTTCCACCTTTGTGCTATTAACAATCTTGCTGCTGAGATCACATATAAAAGAACTCTCCAGCACTTTTTCTGTAGTACTTGAGAGAAGACTGTAATTTGATATGACATAGAGGTATGATTACCTAATTTTTGAAAGAGAGCTGTTACTTAAATTTCAGAGATAGAAAAAGACTTATGAATCATGAGTATAATCAAAGGTATTTATTGTCAAGGGAACTTTTGGAAGTATTGTGTTATAGTTTATTATAAAGAGCTGACTGTATTTATTTAAATTTTGACTGTATAAAAGTATTATAGTATGATTATAGATGATAAATGAAATATTTTTTAAAAAAAGAAAGAAAAAGAGATTGAGCTAAAAAGAAATCCATCAGAGACATAATTGAGGACTAAAATATAATCAATATTTAAATAATGTGGATTGAGAACATGGTTAAGGACTCAGGAAGTTTTTGTTGATTTTTTTTGGGGGGGGTCGTGGTTTGTTGTTTGTTTAGCTTTTTTTGGTTAATTTTCTTTACCTTTTTTTCTTTATTTTGGGTCGGGTTATTTTGGATTGTGATATGTTGATATGTTGACACAATAAGTGTTCTTGGTGTGGTGGATGTGTCTTTCTTTATTTTATTCATGTAACTTTGTGTATTTTTTAATCAATAAAAATTTAAAAAAATACATAATTGAGGAAATAAAAATAATGCAAAAACAAATAATGCTAGAAAATGTAGCAGAAATTGAGAGAAAATTAAAGATAACAAACCAAACAACTCTTGAACATTCTAAAAGGTTGGAAGATGGTTAGCTCATAAACTAAGGGTGAAAAAGGGAAGAACAACTATAACAAAGAACAAATCAAACAATGAAATCTACATGCACCAAGAGAAAATAAAAGAAATGACATCATAAGAAGTCTTATGACGCTATCACATTATGACATCATCAAATGTTTGATGACGTCATGTAATATTTGGTTAACATGATGATGTATACCCATTTTTTAATTTAATTAACCCAATTTGTAATTCCCATTTAACCTATTTATCCCAGAGGGGGTCCCTGCCCACCACAGGAGGGGGTCAGACTAGCTTGGCATCCCCTCCCCCCCCCCAA